GAGAGAGAGAGAGAGAGAGAGAGAGAGAGAGAGAGAGAGAGAGAGAGAGAACAAATGAATGGTCAGTAGTCGTCTTCTCCCCATCATGTCGGGAGAGTGTTGATTTGTACTCTTTTTATCTTTTTTTTTCCTTTTTTTATTCAATTGAAGAAGATCGTATGGGCAGCCTACAGCCCCAAAACATCCGCCGAAGAAGGTGATGCTAATGCCTTGAGCAAAGAATTGGAGTTTTGATAGAGGTCATTCCTGCCTCTTGTTTTTTTTTTTTTTTTTGTAAGGTCGTGCAGGCTGATGTATAGGCAGGCCCTACCCTGATGGCCAGTGCTATAATCACACTCCCACGACATTGGAATGCCTTTTCTTGTTTTGTGTGGTACTGTTTGGTACTGTTTGGCACTGTTTGGCTCTGTTTGGTTCTGTTTGGTTGTTTGGTTGTTTGGTTGTTTGGTACTGTTTTGTATTGTTTGGTTCTGTTTGGTTGTTTGGTACTGTTTGGTACTGTTTGGTACTGTTTGGTACTGTTTGGTACTGTTTGGTACTGTTTGGCACTCTTTGGTACTGTTGGGTTCTGGTTGTTGTGGTCGGTTTGGCAGGGGTTTGATTCTGCTGGATTTTCAGTTATTCTTGTTCAGTACTGTCTTGTTCTGTTCGGTTCCGTTTGGTTCTGTCTGGTCCTGTTTTGTTCTAAAATGTGCAGAAGCGATTCAACCCTTTCCAACCCTTTTTCTTATAATGTCGTACATATCCTTTGTGTTTTCATCTCTCTGATAAAATGGTTTTTTTCTTTGCGTTCTTGATGGTGTTGATGATGATCGTTGCTGCGATCACCTGTGACAATACTGGCGCCATCCGGCATGAGAAGGTTGGCTGACAGCTCCTCGTCCTCGTCCTCGTCACCATGATGGCTGCGTTGGCGCCATCACCTGCAGAAGTACGTGCATTGTTCCGCTCGTTTATGAAAGCGGGGAAGCGATTTGCGAGTTACAACATGAGGGAGTATACGAAGAGACGCGTACGAGAAGGGTTCAGAGAGACGCAGAATTTGCAGGACCCTGGTGCTCGAGCACAGGCATTCGCGAAAGGGAAGAAGGACTTGGAAGTCGTCAAAAGACAATCTATCCTCTATTCTCTCTACAGTCCACCTGTGAAATCCATCATGGAGTTGCATCCTTCGTCGTCATCGGCGTCGTTGGCAGCAGCAGCAGCAGCGTCATCGGCATCAAAGTCAGCCACAGTGTCGTCATCCTCATAACTGCTTGCATCCTGATTGATGAAGGGATTGCTTGCTCTAATGCATTGGTTTCGCTTTCACCAATCTTTGGATTTGACGGTCTGACCTTATCTGATCTTATCAGTCTGATCCCATCCGGTCTCATCCTGATCTGATCTGATCTGATCTTATCAGTCTGATCCCATCCGGTCTGATCTGATCTGATCTGATCTGATCTGACCTGATCTGATCTGATCTGACCTGACCTGATCTTATCAGTCTGATCCCATCTGGTCTCATCTGATTTGCTCTGCTCTGCTGGAGGGCCTGTTTGCTGCTTGCTAAACGTGTTATTTTTAGCACTTGGATGGATAGGGGTCGGACTTCTCTGCGGCTTGCTATTTTTAGCGTTTCGCATCGAAAGAGAATGACGTGTCAATGCACAGAATGTATATGAAGAAGAGAAGATGCACAGCGGATAAAATTTGTTGTTTACGGAGTTTGTGTTGTGAACATTTCGGTGCAGCACCTCGGGCCGTGGGGTAAAATTTCTGTAGTAGTAGTGTGTTGCTGTGGGAAATGGCTTCGCATCTGAGTAGTTTTCTTGGGAGTTTCGATGAAGCAGGACACTGGTTTCACTGGTTGAGGTGCTAGAATGTTTGAGCGTTTTGATAGGGTGGGTTCAAATGCTCTCTTTGCTGCTGTTGCTGTTTTTAGATTCTGGATCGGAAGAGGATGAGGTGGCAATGCCCGTATTATATCTGAAAAGAGGATCACAGAGACACAAGAATTGCCATCAGAAGAGTTTTTAAATGGTGGAAAGTTTTGCAGTGCAGCAGCCAGCTTGCTCGGTGGCATGATTCCTGTAGCAGCAGCAGATCGCCCGCCGCGGTACATATCTGTACGCAGCATTATGGCACAGTGCCATTTCTGTTTAGCAGTAGGTTCACCCTCCGCCTTGGTAATGCGCCGCTCGTGCTCAGAGATAGTGAAAGTAGTTACAGCAATGGTTTTTGACTGTTTATTTCGAACTTTCTATGGAGCAGCAGCACATCCGGCTGTGTTATACTCTTTTGCTACTTCAGTTGGGGCACACCTCATGCTATGCACCACAGCAAGCACACCGTGCTATGCAGCACATCAAGCACAGCGTGCTATGCTGCAACCACATCGTGCTATGCAGTCGGCACAGCACGTCGTGCTATGCAGTCGGCACAGCACACTGTGCTCTGCACATCGTGCTATGCAGCAGCACATTGTGCTATGCAGCAGGCACATCATGCTATGCAGCAGGCACATCATGCTATGCAGCCGCACATGGTAGGTAGTTGCTGTTATATAGTTACGGGAAACAAACGTTGTGGTAGTTACTGTGTATTTTCTGCGGTAACTAGTGCATTTGGTAATTACTAATTAGTAATTACTAATCACCACATTGTGTCAATTAGCTTGTCCTGTGTTTTTAGGTGGTGTTGTGCAGAGTCTGCAGACATACCTCTCATGTGCAAAATTCGTGTGCTGCGCTTTGGTACATCTGTGGCTGCAATTTGATGATTCAGTGCTATTGTGAGATGCCTTCCAGTGTGTTTGTGGAAGTGTGGTTTTCTCTCCCTCTGTTGGATGTTAACCCCACCCGTATGAATAGTCTAGCTGTGGTGGGAATACAGATGCATACAAGTGCACATGCGCAGACAACCACGACCTGTTTTTTTTTTTGTTTTTTTTTTTACCATTTCTTGATTTATGCGTGTCATCCTTGCGCAGGGGCCATGCTAATCTTCTTTTTGTACCGTTCCAATTTAACAGATGTCCTGAAGCACCACAAATTGTTATTATTTTGCCAAAAAAACTATGTTACCAGGGTGGATGTCGGGGAACCCCCTGGATGTCCGACTTGTCCGTTCGGACAACTGGGAGGACGTCTCCCGGAGACTGCAAGTCCGACCCCCCCACCCCCCACCCCCACGACCACAGCTCGCGAAACTTCATTTTTTACGAACCACATCCGGACCAGATTTGCTTTAAAAAAAGATCTCTAACCAGATCCAAACTGGATCTGGCCTTCAAGCAATTTTCGAACTGCATCCAACCCAGAACTGTGTTTTTGAAATTTTCCCACCATCCCCGGACCCAGCTGGGAATGTGAAAAAATGCTCAACCGCATCCAACCCAGCCAGGACCCGCACAACAACCGCCTGTGGCCCGCCGGGGTCCACCCATGCCCACCTGTAACCCACCGACGTCCAGCCATGCCCCAATTCCGCCCAACGCTATTCCAAGGTTGCTTTCATCGCTCCCTACCACAGTGCCACCCCTCACCCCTCCCGAGTCCCTACCTCGTTCCGTGCACCCACTCCCGACAAGTTGGAGTGGAATCAGAAATCTGAAACTGAAACCAAGCTTGCCCAGCCTCACAAAGGCTGTGCCGCCACCTGATTCCAGCCTTGAAAAGCTTGTCCAATGTTAGAAGTTAGAACTTTTGAATGTAGATAACCGTATTTGCAGTCCGATTCAGTGTGTCCACGCCTGTCAGGGCACCTTTGGCAACAAAAAAGTGGCCTCGACTTTTTTCGTGTGCAACCCACCTCCGGCAGTGCTTTCAGCCTGGATTTTTCGCGCACGGGCGCGAACATGCCGGCAAACTTGTCAGGGCACGTTCGACAACGGAAAAGTGGCCTGGACTTTTTTCGTGCGCAACCCACCTCCGGCAATGCTTTCAGCCTGGATGTTTCGCGCATGGGCGTGAACATGCCGGCACTGGGGCCCAGGGGTATTTGAAAGTTGGAAACTGGGGTACAATAACTTAGATATATAGAAAACTCAGACGAAACAATTTGTCACAGCCCCTCGTTTCTTGTCGTCTTCTCCTTCTCTGCCTACGGTTTACCTGGCCGCTCTGTTTGACGATATATATGTATATATATTATATGACAATATATATATTAGGGGTCCTAATTTGGGTCACCTGAGGAGTTTTCCACCCAGCTGTGCCTCGTAACTGGGCTATCCTAGCAGACGGCCGGCCCAGCCAGAGCTGAATCTTTCAAAATTGCACCTGCGCCAAGCCCGTCAGTTGCAGCTGGGCCCGGCAGTGTGCAGCCATGGCCACCCGATTGCATGCTATGCCCTCCCCCCCCCTCCGAATTAAAAAAAAAAAAAAAAAAAAAAAAAAAAAAAAAAAAAAAAAAAAAAAAAAAAAAAATCGATCTTTTTTCTGTGCCAAAAAAAATTGGGTCATTTGAGCCCGTAGAAAAGAAAGATAGAAATCGCCAAAGATGTCTTTGTCAATTTCAACCAAACAGGTCTAGCTTATTGGGGTCAATTTCAATCATGCCCCCCCCCTCCCCCTTTCGCCCCCTACCACCCCCCTTTCCCCATGTTTTGCATTATATCTTTTTTTGCTCTAAAGGAGGTGATTTTTTTTTTTTTAACTGGGATCACCTCATGTAGGGCAGGGCGCCCCCAATTTTTTTTATTTTCGTTTTTGAAGTTTTTTCACTTTTAGTTTTGGAGAAAATGAGTCTGGGATCCCGGACAACTCCAGTCGCGGACATCCGATGGAGTTGTCCGTCAGAGCTGTCCGCCGATCAGACAGCTGGTAACCTAGCAAAAGACTCCAATTACTTCCAATGCACAACGACGCCTGGAAGTGACGGAAATCTGAGAAAATCACGCACTTGATTGGCAGCGTCACAACAACTCATCAGTGCTTTCTGTTGCATTGATTTCTGGCTGCATAGCACGGCGAACGTGGTCGTGCCCCTTCATGTTCAGGCGAATGTGTTCGCGCGTTCATGCGAACAGCTCGGGAACATGTTCGGACGAACATAATTTGTTTTCGTAATATATATATATAAATATATATA